CACCCTAGGCCAACCCCAACCTCTCTCACCACCAAAGGAACACAAGTGAACAACACAAGCAACGCTGACACCAAACTCTACATACATTAAACATAATAGAAACACCGCCACCCGACCCCACCCCCATCCATCTTCCCTCTCCCCACCCCCCTTTCTTTTTTCTTTTTTTTCTTCTCCCCCTAATGCCTCAACAAATGAAACGGATTTGTAAAAATGTTACATGAAAAAAAAAATACGAGGCACTACACTTCTGTAAAACAAGAAAATCCTTAATAAAATATTTTTAAAAACCAAAAAAAAAAAAAACACGCCAATTTCTAAGGGTATTTATGATTGAAGGTTTTTGTTCTCCAGGCTGTGCTTAAAGTAGTGCTAACTACGGTCACTCTTGGATAATGCCAAAAATACACTTGGCACAAGTTCAGGGTCACCCCATAAGTTATTGTGGTGAAGGGCTGCAGCAGACATTGAGAGCAGGGTAAAAGTGACCACTGGTTCAAAATGAGTCCCATCCATTGAGCTGGCAAATGCTCCTACCTTCCTTGAGATCCCTCACATGTCAGTGAAGGTTCAGATACTAAATATTTGATTCAAATAAATTTCCTATACTTTCCATAGCCCCGCTTCATAAAGTTCACACAATAAGGCATTTAGAAAGTAATCACTTTGAAGTTGGAAGCATTGTGAAAACCAACCAACCAACCATGGGCTGCCTTGCACATTATTTCCAGATGTGCAAGGCAGCCTGTGGTTGGTTGGTTTTCACAATGCTTCCAACTTCAAAGTGATTACTTTCTCGAAGGAGCCCTGTCTGTGCACAAATTGAGGGATATGTATAGAATCATAGAGTTGGAAGGGACCACAGACTCATCTGGTCCAGCCCCCTGCAATGCAGGAATCTTTTGCCCAACATGGAGCTTAACCCATGACCCTGAGATTAAGAGTCTTCTGCTCTACGGACTGAGATGTAAATCTCATGGAACTCCCCAGGACTTATTTTCCAACTCAACATGCACAAGAATTGATTGGGCTGGTCTGAGTAGGAGTTGCTTCCAAGTAATGACTGTTAGGATGGTTCTGCACTCTAATGCTGGAGGGGAAGCCGAAAGTTATTTCAGCTAGACATTGTGAGTCAGAGGTTACTTGATGTGGAGATAAAGGCTGCAGTCCTACTCATTAGGGCTGAAGAAACTCCCATCCTCCAGATCTAGTGACACTCCCAGCTCCCATCAAACCTAGCCATGGCCAGTGGTAAGGGAGGATGGAAGCTGTAGTCCAACAACAAGTGGAAGAGGAGGTTCCTCAGCCCTGCGATACACACTTCCCTGAGAGCAAGACCCATCCAGCTTAACAGGACTTCTACTTAATACTTATGAACCCAAGGAAAGCTAATCTAGTCAAGTATCCTGTTCTCACAGTGACAGTGGTGGTTGTGGGACCTGTGACCTTCTAAGTGTTTTGCACTACAGCTCCCATCATCCCTGACCATCGGCTGTGCTGGTTGGAACTGGTGAAGTCCAGTAGTAATAGCTGGGGGGCACAGATTAGCCATCCTTGCTGTTCGGCATCTTGGCCTCTTGCTTTTGTTTTAAGGGGGGTGGGGACATGTTTTTTGTTGTTTGTTTCTGCAGGAACTGAGCCTTTTGCTGAGAGGCAAAGGTCGAGACGTGTGAGGAGGTGATCCTTTTGCGCTCTCCTTGTTTATCTTCTCCGCCTCCCCCACCCCACCCCACCCAACCCCACGGCACAGCAGGGCCCTGCGTCGCAGCTGCATCTGACTGCGAGGAGAACTGGACAGGGTTGAAGACAGTAGCCCTTTCACAGACTGTCACCAGCGCTCCGTGATTGGCTGTCAGAGCAGCGCGAGGCTTGTCCTACACTCGCCCCCCTTCCGAGCCGCCCTGCAAGGCATGTCACTGCCTTCCCTTTCCCGGCTGCACCCCAGAAGTGACAGGCAGGCGGAGGCCGAGGTGTGCGCTCTGCTGGGAAGAGCTGCTCTTGGCGAGTCCCCTTGGAAACACTCCCAGGATTTCCAGCCCCAGCATGCAAGACAATCAAAATGGCCGAGGTAGTAAACAGCCACAAGTGGCTGCCGTTCAGCCCTCGATCAACGGTGTGCTGCTGCTGCTGCTGCTGTTGTTGTTGTTGTTGTTGTTGTTGTTGTTGTTGTTGTTGTTGTTGTTATGATGGTGGTGGTGGTGCTGTTGGTGTTTCAAAAGCGGGCTTAAATTGAGCCTCCTTCCTACAGGACGGCCATCTAAAGCCTTCCCAGTTAACAAAAGTGTTTCCTGTGTCGCTACCTCAAGAGTAGGAAACCTAAGATCCCCGATAGTTCTTCTGGCACACCAGGCAGGATGGGCTGCATTGCCTGAGGCGGAGAACCAGTTTCTGCAATGCAAGGAAATCTTCCTCAGGTAGATCTGCCTGAAGAAAAATCCCGTGTAGTTGAAAGGCTCTGCTCTTTCAATAAAATATATGCCTCGAAGCATCCGATACTGCACCTTTGTGGGAGAGCCACTTTATCGGAGGGAAGGATGAGGATGAGCTGTTTGCTTTGGCCTCCTGGCACGACCAATTTCTGTCTCCAATAGGGCTAAAGGGGCGGTTTCACTCCACTGTTTCCAATGCAGGTTTATGGCCATGTCCACAGAAACCCCTATATTCCGATTTCAACAACAAAAATACCCAATTGTTAATATGCTTGAAGTCATTTTCTTACAAATGGCAGATGACGTGCTAAACCGACACCTGAATTGCCCCACTAAGCACTGCAGGGCTGGTACCCAGCTTGACTGAATGCCCTCTTCTTGAAAATAAAAACAATCCGATACAGCGCAACCAGATGTCAGGGACAGAGGTTCTGTGTAGCCTTCTCCTTAACGTGCTACCCTGCAGCGGCTCTATACACAATACATTTAAAGCACATTTAAAGTGCATGGTTCTCCACAGAGATTCATGGGAACTGCAGTCTGTCGGGGTAAACTACAGTTCCCAAGACTATGTGGGGGAAGCTAGGTAAAGGTAAAGGTAAAGGTACCCCTGCCCCTACGGGCCACTCTTGACAGACTCTAGTGTTGTGCGCTCATCTCACTCTAGAGGCCGGGAGCCAGCGCTGTCCGCAGACACTTCCGGGTCACGTGGCCAGCGTGACAAACTGCATCTGGCGAGCCAGCGCAGCACACGGAACGCCCTTTACCTTCCCGCTGGTAAGCGGTCCCTATTTATCTACTTGCACCCGGGGGTGCTTTCGAACTGCTAGGTTGGCAGGCGCTGGGACCGAACGACGGGAGCGCACCCCGCCGCGGGGATTCGAACCGCCGACAATGCGATCGGCAAGTCCTAGGCGCTGAGGTTTTACCCACAGCGCCACCCGCGTCCCCGTGCTGGAAGCTATGTACTTTAAATACATGGTATAGAAATAGGTGGGTTTTTTAAAATTATTGTTAGCAGGGTGATGGTGTCTCGAAGCATTCCATCAAACGAGCCCTCAGGTACTGTCTGAAATCAAGACAAATGATTGCCAGCGACACAATCTGCTGTTTGTGAGAAGTAGGCCTGGAGGAGACTGGAAAATGTAGGTGAAACAGGAATACTCCCCTCCCACACACTCTGGAACCCTTTGTTCATTGACACTTTCACCCATTATGAGGTTGCTTCTGTCTCCTGCAGACAGAATGGCTGCTTTCTCCCTAGGAAGCTCGAGTGGATTGTGGGACAACCTCACAACAACCTGCGGAACAGGGTCCGTCCACCACAGGCGGAAAAAGCAAGCAACAGACCCACAGATCTGTACATGGGGTGTGCGGCCCCGTCGCCGCACACCCCTCCCCTGCTCCTCCTCCTCCTCCCCCCTCCCTCTCCGACTCCTTGTATCCAGATAAAAGGAAGTATTATAATTGTGACGGCTAGCAGAGTAAAACAGTTGTTCCTCAGCTATCCAAGGTTGGAGCCTTGGTTCGCTCCAGTCTATCTGGTTGTGGTGCTGAACCAGAGAGAAGACGTTAGCTTGAATGAATGGATCTGGCTCTTGTTTAGGCCTCATAAAAGAAGAAGAATAAAAAGAATACTGGCAATTGTATACGTATACTTTTAGGGTTGAGAGTGTTTTACATGCATACTAAGCTAGAGGAGGCAGAACTTTATCTGTGACTCGTCTGCCTTTCATAGCTGCTTCTTTTTTTAACGTTTCAGGGTTAGAAGTCGAGGCCTTGTGGCTTCTCTCTCAGTTGCCGGTGCGCTGCATCTGTGTCACATGCCTCACAAAATCTGAAACATGTTCTTTCCTGTCTGCCGAGCGCGCACCGGCGCTCTGTGTGCGCCAGGGCCAACGCCGGCCGACGTTTCCACTCCAACTGCAACCGCTGAGAGTTGAAAACATGGTCGTCCCCCCACGCCTACTTATGTTTACGCAGAAGTAAGCCCCATTGATTTCAGTGGAACTTGCTCCCCAGTCCGTTTGTTTAGGATTGCAGCCCAAGTGTGTGACTTTCCAGGACGGAACACAATCCCTGTTAGAAACTTGGCAGCGGCAGCCGGAGAGGTTTTTCGCCTGCGAGCACACATTTCGATCACTTTGGGGCCAGCAGAAAGCCACGCATTGCTGCGCCACCCATTGGCCCAGAAAAACAGCACGGACTTCCAGCCCCGGCCCCCCTCTGCTGCCGCGCCAGGTGTGTGTGTGTGTGTGTTTTAAGTGGGGGGAGGGGGAAAATCTTAATTTCAATGTCTTTTGTTTTCCTGATGGAGAAATCAGGCGTGCAAGAGTGGTCAGAGCCTCTGTCTAAGGCCAAGCCAAGGTGGCCTTGTTTTGTTATTCAGATTTCTACACTCCCATTAAAGCAGGCTCCCAGGAAGCGGCGGCAACGGCTTGATTTAACGCACACTCAAGCAGGGCCATTCAGAGCTCGGGAGAGCGCCGGGTTATTTATAGGCTTTTTCCTCGGCGCTGTGCGCCGCCGTAGCCGAGCAGACCGCTAATGAATTTAATCCTGGCGACACCCTTAGGAAGGAGAAAAGGACTGAGTCACGGGCCGAGGTTGATCAGGCCCGGGGCCTCCAGCGCGGCGCGGCTCCGGTGATTGATTACGTGCCTTGCCAAGAGACTGGCCTGCTGCTTCGGGATGCAGCGCTGCCTGGAAAAGGGGCCAGCGGGGAGCCACGTGGAGTTCAGAAAAGAAGGGCCGGTGCCGTGTGAATCCATTGTCGCGCCAAACAGCCAGAGCGAGGCGAAAGGCTGCAGCTACGCGGTTCCCCTCGCCTCCCAGCTCCGCAGAGAGGCGCTTCTGGCTCGTCCTCCACAGCAGCGCTGCCTCCAGGAGGTCTTTAAACGCTCGGCGTGCCCGCAGCGGCTGTTTTTTTGGCGTGGATTTCCCTCTCCGACGCTTTCGGTCCCGAGGAGCGCCAGCGTCTACGGCTCGCTGGCTCCGCTCGCTCTCCAGTGCTCCTCTTCTCTCTCCCCCCCCACCCCAGCGCAACGCACAACGGCCTGACCCGAGGGTCAGCTCTCCGAGGAGGCGAGGGAGGAAGGGAGGGAAAGAGGCCTGGCGATTTGCGGCCTCAGTTCCTTCGGCGAAGGCTCCCTCGGCGATTCTGCTTAGCAAAACACAGGCGGGGTGAACGCGGGGCAGGGGTTAGACTTAGCGACCGAGACGACCCCCCCCCACACACACACAATGCCTGGGGAGCTCGGGAGACGTTGCGTTTGCAACCTCTGGGAATCCTCACCGGGTGGGGGTGGGGAAGACAGGCACTCAAGGAGCGTAAAATAAAATCTGAAAACAAAAACAACCCGTGTGATCGCTAAGAACTTACTTGGAAAGACCCTGCGCCAGCAAATGTTCCGGGTCCCTGAGACGCGGAACGTCTAGGCAGCTCAGTCCATCGTAAACTGGTTAAACAATGGCGTTAATGAAACCAGTCTTACAATCCGAGGACTTCGACTCAGTTGTGTTGCTCGGCAGGCAGGTTCAGTATTTCAACTGTATTTTTTATTTTATTTTTAAGGAATTTGTCCTTTCCTTTTCTGAAGGCTCGACCATACACACTCAGAGACTCAGAATGTTTTTGGGGGGGGGCTAGAGTCGCCGCACATGCTGTACTGTCGTGACCATATTCAAAGGTTCCTCAGAAAAGTAAACGGATATGATTTAAAAAGCGTTTTAAATACAGAATCAACCCACTTTGCAAGCATACATCTACACTTGCTTGTCCAAAAAAAGAAGTGAAAGTAAAAGCAGGACATTTCGACAAGGACTTCCTTCTCCCAGTTTTCCCTTTTTTATCTCTGGATACGGGTGAAATGCATATGTATCTAACAGAGGCCTTCCACCCCCACCGCCATCCAGCTGCATGTCTGTACCTCACGTGTGCTCCGTCTAATAACTTTTAATGTCTAGCCCTAAAACGTCTTTATAAAAAATAGCTTTACAATGTAATGGGCCAGGTGTCCTTGCACTCGTTGCCGGAGATTGAAAAAACGTGTAGGATGGTTTTCAGATGCAAAGCTCATAAACTGGGAACAATATGCAACCCACCCCCCTCCATATCGGATTTTAAATTCCACTTCCAGGCACCTCTGAGGGAAAACCTTCCCGACGCATTTGCAATGCACACACTTCATTGGCAACTTGTTTCTTTACTCTCCCCTCCCCTCCCCCTTAAGAGTATTTACCCTCCAGCTTGGGAAAGCGATGCCTTTTTGCCATTTCTATCAGCTGGTTTTAAGAAGCTGAAAAGCTTGTGTGCCCAGCGTTTCGGGTTACAAACGGTAGATATCTTTCACTTCTGCTTTGAAAGCGAAGAGGAGGCTTTCCACCCCTCCCTCTCTCTTGTATAGATGCAAGCTAAAAATAAAATCCAACAGAATATTAGCTTTCTGGCTAGAAATAGGTATCAAAACAATCAAGCGATTATTCATGAGATAAGAACTTGGGGTTTAGGTTTCCAAATCCTTCTAGCAGACTCTACTTTTAAGAATCTCCTGCTTTCCATTAAAACGTAAGAGATTCGCATAATTAAAGAAGGAAACTGCATACTGAGTAAGCAACTTTTTTAATCAAGGCAAATGTTGCTAGGGACCGGGTTTAAACATTTCCCCTTCTTTCCCACAGATTGCTGGACTTCGCGATGAACAGGCTGGCGCGCTCGTCGGCGTTGAAATAGCTAATCGCTCGGGATGCCGCAGCTCCTAGCATACTTACCTAGGTATAAACAGCTTATGCAGGCAACATAAGAGTGTTTTAAGGACGCTGGAGCGAAAATTAAGAGCGAGGGCTTGGTATAATCACCTCTGTAGTCAGTGACAATAAAATTCCGTTCAATTCCACCCGGCTGGTTTGTGCTCCCCTCCCCCCACGCCCTCCTCTTATAGCTAAAAACCTAGACACGTCTAATCCGAATCAGATAAATCCGGGACCCCAAACTTTCCTGACCAGCATGTTTAGGGTTGCAGCCCTGTCGGATTACCAGTGGAAGCTGCTCTCTCGCGAGTAGGGACCCGATACCTCTACAGCGCAATCCTGTGGCACGTTTCCTCAGAAGCAAGTTCCACTGTGTTCAGTGAGGCTTACTACAAAGTAAACGTGCAGAGAGGAGGACTGCAGTGGGAGCCCGTGATTCCCCCCCTGATGCTGCACACACCATCCTGGTTAAAGAAGTGTCCCTGAATGAGCGAGGGCGCGCGATCGCGATCGCGCACCCCCAACACACACCACCACTTCCCGAAGTCTATAGGGTTAAATCTTGTAGCCGGCGCCTTGCTGTTAATTCCAGCAATCGCTAGGAAAGCCATAAAGAATCACGCGCTGTGCGAGGGAGAACCGAACAAGCGAGGATCAGTCAAGATGGGCGTCCTGAACCCGACATTTACTAGCTGACCTGCCGAGTCAGCGCTACCAAAGTAAGTAGATACGCAAGATAACGACCATCCCGGCGAACGAGAGATCAAAAGGCCGGCGGAGAAATCTCCAGCCGGTACTAGAATTACAGCGAAGGGGGGGGGGACCCCTCTCGCCCCACCTTCCCGAGCGATTCACACGCCGTGACAAAAAAACGTGTTTGGGAGTTTCAGAGGTGGGAACCACGCGGTACCTTGTTTAGACACCAAGGGGAGGGAATCGGTTTTGGGGGCACTCCGGAAAGCAGCTTCTTGAGAACCGAATGGTTCTCCTCACCCAGAAAGGCTCGAGGGCAAAGGGGCGAGAAAGAAAGCCCCACGTCGGAGTATGAAAACAGCGACTGGTGGTAAAATGAAGGATGTTGAAGAGTCGTGGGTGCAAGGGGTACACTGGAGGGGAACGGTGGCTTGCGTGCTTCTGGAAAGGAGAGATAAAGGGAAATTGCTCGTTTGGAGGGAGTCTTTAAATACAGGTTGGGATGAAAGCGGGACACCACACAGTTATCTAAAAGAAGGAAAGAAAAGAGAGGGCTGGAGAGGCATTTCCCCCCCAGGGGGAGAGTGGTGGCCAGATAAGACTGGGAGAGAGAGAGAGAGAACACGAAGAAGACGTTCCACTTTGGGCAGGCTGTGCGCGACAATGGAACGCGCGCGGGTGGGGGGAAGGGGAGGGAGGGGGAGGGGAACAAAGAAACAGCCCATTTGGGGTTCTCAGGGAAATGCAAAGAGAGGCAGATGAACGTGGGGGGAAGGAGGAAGAGCGCGGGTTTCCACACCTGAGGAAATATATATATATATATATTAGGCGCGTGAGGGGAGGGGGAATGAATAGGCAGCGCCGTCCTCCTTCCGCCTCATACAAGGTTATGAGGATGCCGTTTACGAGGTGGAGGGCTTCTCCTTCTCTCTCACCTCCCTGTTTGAAAAGACTCTTAATGAAGGGCTGAAGAAAAGGGAGAAAAGGGGTCACGAACAACACACACGCGACACGCGGGAAGGTGCTCTTGCGAGAAGCAGATATTGAGGCGGAGAAGAGCCCGCGCTCGCTCGGCTTGGCGAGGAGGTCGCGGAAGGGGGAGAGCGAAGCCTTCTGCCGCGGGCGAAAAAAGGAGAGGAAGCCGGGCGGGCGGGCGGGCTGGCTGGCGGGGGTCTGGCTGCGCCTGCTGCTGCCGTTGCCGCTGCTGCCGGGGCTTTGACAGCTTGGCGAAGCGGAGGGAGAGGAGCTTTATGGTAATTGCGGCTCTCTCTCCACTGGCCTTCTGGGTAGCGAGCCGAGCCGAGCAGGGAGTCTGGCGAGGGGGCGGGAAGAGACTTTCCCCCCTTTTTTCCACCTCGCCTGGTCAAAAAGGAGAGCGGAGTCTCCTCAGGGCGCCCTCAGGCAGGGCAGGGCAAGGCAAGCAGAGCGAGGAGGAGAGAGAGGGGAAGGGGGGGGGGAAGCAGCCAGGAAACGCCGCGGAGTGGAGGGGGAATCAATTAAGGAGAGAAAGCGAAAAGCCTTGGAGAAAGGAAAAAAGGGAAAGAAAAGAGGCAGCTCCGGGAGAGCGCGGGGGAAAGAGAAGCCTCGCTGCTGCTGCTGCTTGGGAGAGCGGAGTGGAGGTGGCGGTGCTGCCGCTGCCGCTGCCTCTACTGGCGGCGGCTCCCTGAGTGCTGAGCCCGCCGGGGGGAGGGGAGGGGAAAGAAGAGAGGGCGGGGAAGGGAAGGAGGAGGCGGTGGAAGAGGAGGAGGCGAAGGGGGGCAGCGTGCAGCAGACGGAGCCTGCTCTCCCAGCGGCAAGGTGAGGAAGAGCGGCTTTCCCGGTGGATTAAATCCCCAGAGCCAGCCCAGCCACACACACGCACACGCCGCCGCCGCCGCCGCCAGGACGCGGGGCTCTCGCCAGGGAAGAAAGAGCATGTAGGCGCCGTCGCCAGGAGCCGTCGAGCCCAGCCCGGAGCAGCCACACCAGCAACATGGCGCTGCCAGAGCCGAGCCGTCGGGCAGCCGGAGGGAGCCTGCTGCTGGCGGGGTGCTGAGCCCAAGCGATAGTCAAGCGGAGTGACCGTAGGTCTCGCTCCCCCCCCTCTTCCAACCCGCGCAGCCCCAGCTGCCCTGCCGAGGTCCGCCGGTGGCCGGATTGTCCGACGTGGGGGCAGCCCGGGTCTCTCCCCCCCCCCTCCGGGCTCGGAGGTTGGCAAACTTTTCTCGCCCACCTAGACTGAGAGTGGCTCGCTTTGGAGAGGACACGACGCCGGAGCGACTCCGCGGCGGCATCTCCGGAGCCGAGGCTAAGGTCAGCGCTCTTCCCTTTGAACTCCTCTCTCTCTCTCTCTCTCTCTCTCTCTCTCTCTCTCTCGTCTCTCTTTCTCTCTGCGGAAACGCCGCGACGGCCAAGTACCAAAAAGGGCGACGATCGCATGCGGTACGCTTGAGTCTTGGTACACTTCTCCCGTGTGTGGGGAGGGGGGACCTCGAGGAGGCGACCTTTTTCCTCAACACCCCCCGCCCCCAGACCTGGCTGGGGTGCGCCTCTCTGTGTGTGTGCGCGTATATGTGTTTGTGTGTGCGTAGGAGAGAGAGCGCGCGCGTTGGTCCCAGCCTGCCTCTCCTCGGTTGGGATCGTTGCCAGAATGTCTCTCAACCTGAAACGATCCGGGCTCCGAGGAGGAGGGCGGCGTGGAGGCGAGGGAGATGTTCGCGAGAACAGCGGTCACCGCCTGAATGCGCCTCGGCCGGGGAGAGGCGGGACGCGGAGGCGTCGGGTGGGGGGAGTGCTCCGAGGGGCGGGTGTGTTGCGCGGGTTTGTTGAAGTTTGCAGGGTTGTGAAGAGAGGCGCGAGGTGGGGGGGGGGGAGCGAGCGAGCGAGCGACGAGGAAAGGGGAAGCTGCCGGTCGCGCTCTGTCTGCTCCAGCAGGAAGGAGGTGGCGGGCGGAGGGGGATCGAGAGAAGAGGCTTCCCGGCGTCTCGCTCCTCTTTTATCTTTCGGATTTGGAAAGGGCTATAAAAGCCCCACCTCTGGCAGCCGCCACTTCTGGGCTCCCAGGGGGGAAGGGGAGAGTGGGTGGAGGGGAAAGGAGCGTTTTTGGAGAGCTGCTTGGCTCTCCTTTTCGCCCACCGGCAGCGAAGTTCAAAGATGAGTACCGGGAAGAGACAGCCAACGTGATTGAGGTAAAAAGAGGCTCTCGTTTTCGGTGCGTGTGTGGGGCGTATTTGTTGCTTTTCTGAACGCTCTTGGAAAGAGACTGCGGAGGCTGTGGGAGGTTTTCTTCCCGGTTGTTTTCGAGGCCACTTTTTTGAGGGGGGTGTCGGAGTCGGTTGGGCGGGTTGTGGGGGGGGGGGGAATAAACGAGAAGGTTCGGGGGCGGCGGAGAGGCGATGTTCTAGAGCTGGTGGTTCCAGTTCAAAGACTTTGTGTTGCTAGTCTGGGGTGGGGGTGGGAAGAGGTCCAGCGCCGCCGTTAGGAATTTCGGGCGTCCTTTGCACCTTTCATTTCTGGCTCCAGGGAGGTTGAGAACTTGCCTCCCAGGAGCGGATGGCGGAGGCTGTTGGCTGGAAAACCCTAGCCAACTCCGGGGTTGCTTGTGCTCGGCATCTGAGGCACGTAGCTTGTTTGTTGCGAAGCCAGTCCGGGGGCGATCTCTAGCTTTGCGAAGCCTTCGCCTTTCGTTTCTGCCTCGCCGGCTGCGTCTCAGATTCAGAAAAGCGAGGTATGTGGGTGGAAGGAAGCGGTGGGGGGGGGGAGGAGAGAGAGTGGAGGGAAGCGTAGATCGGAAAACCCCAAAACCCCTTGAATCAGAAGCTGCGAGGGAAATACGTGCTGGTGTTTTAATGGCAATCGCCTCGGAGCTTGTTTCCGTATTTAATTCTCCCGAGCAATTCCCTCCTCGGCTCTCCATCTGCTCGGTGGAAGCCCCGCAGCTTCGCGTTCGCCTCCCTTGGCAAAAGGGCGGTCTGCGCTCGTTCTGGTCGCGCGGGCTGGATCTGTCAAGCTTTTGTAAACTTTTCCATGAGGCCTAGGCCAAAGGGCTCCTTAGACGGGCCCCACGAAGACTATCTGCCAGCAGAGATAAGGAGAGCGAGACTTCTCCCCTCCCGCATTGTAAAGGGAGTAAAGCGAAGCGCCCTTGCAAGATCGCCCTGGGACCTTGGAGACAGAGCCCCGAGGCCAAACTAAGTTGTCCCCGGGGAGTGGGAGTGGTGTCTACATTCAGCATTGCCGAAGTGGATCCGCTCCCACTCCCCCCCCCCCGCCATATTTGCATGCTGTTAATCTTGGGAGTCCCGCTCCTGGAGGCGGCTGCTTCCAGCTTTGCGCTCTCTTTCTCTCTTACGCACACACACACACAGTTCCGTCTAGGCAATGTTGGTGCTGGCAGACATGCCTGCGGGATGCGGTGCCCTCGCGATAGGGCCTGGTGGTTATAAAAGCTCCCGTCCCTTGCCTTGTGCTCCCTTAATTGAGGCCAGTGGGACTGCTCTGGAGCAAAGCAGGCCAGGAGGACTGGGCTCAATTAAGGTTTTGTCTTTTTGTTTGTTTCCTCTTTATCAGCCTTGTGGGGGTGTTATGTAGGTGTTTTAAGAGGCAGCTGGTGGGTTTTGTCTTTTTGCGAATAAGACAACCTTAATGGCTTTTCGGCGGAGGACTTGGAATTTCCTCCCCGCTCTCCATCCCGCAAGGTTTGCCACAGTAGACGAGATCTTTGAATTGGTGACTGGGAGTTAATTAGGAAGTATCCTCTGGATCAATGAGTCGCACATCCCATTAGCTATTTCCCAGCTCTTTGCAGAATCGGCCTTTCCATCTACTAAGCCGGAAACTGCCTCGTTTTCGAGCTGGGTCAGATAGAGTCAAGGAGTTTTTGGACAAGCAAAGAAGAGTGGAATCTGGGAACCAGCCCTTCCGACGCAATGATTAAGTTCTCTACTCTCTGGAAGGCTTGGAATCTCGCCTCTCCCCCTCTTTCCCCACACTTTCTCCGAGGGGAGCCCAGGCCCTTCGCCCAGGGCAACTGCGGGACACGAAACGTGCCGCGCGCATTTAGCGTGCGCTAAACAGGGACAGACAAAACCCCGTTTGTCAGCCATGAGGGTGGGCTGTTTCAGGGGTCTCTGCAAACCCACCAGCTGTTGGTACTGCGGATGATGGTTCTTTATTACCCCATTTCATCTCGAAGGTGAGGTGCGGTGCTAGAGGAGGAGGAGAGAAAAGGGAAGGCGGCTTTTCTCTCCCCCCCCCCCCGGTATTGTTTCGCTCGCCTGTGATAGATCGGTCTAGACAGCCGTCCAAGCTCCCTGCGAGCGGAAGAACCGGAGCCTGAAAGGGAGAGTGGGGGAGTCGCAAAGGAAAAGGTCACCGCGAGATTCGGTGCGTGTGGATGTGTGTGTTAACCCTTCAGGAGTCAGAAACCGAGGTAGATTTTTCCGCGTGAAGGGCTGAGGCTGGCAGATGCAGAAATCTTCTGTCTCCAAGGGGAGGGGGAAGTTGGGAGAGACCGAGGCGCGATCCCTCGGGCTGCTCTAGATGCTCCGTGAAGATCAGTTTCCCACCATCAGGAACCTCCTTTTCTAGCCGAGTGCCAGATTCTTCCGTTCCCAGAAGTTTCGTTGTTTGGGAACTCCGCTGAGCGCGCTTAACCCCGTGTCCTGTTGGGGCAGAGCCAAGCAAGCACAGAGAAGCACAAGGCGAGCCAGGCGTGGTGGTGGAGGAAGAAGAAGGGGTGGGGGTCGAGCTGGAGCAGGAGATCCACTCAGCGCTCTCTTCTCCATTCTGGGGAGGGGGGAGGGAGGAGGAGGAGGGAGGGATAGCTCACAAGGACAAAGCCAGAGCGGAGAATTCGGAGCCACTCCGGCCAAAGACCTCCAGGCGAACAACCTTAGGAGCAGAATCCAGCTCTCCCTTTCTTAGAAATGGGGAGTGGGTGGTGTGGGTGCTTTGTTTTTTGAGTGTCCAGTAGGAACTGACTTTGTTCCATACGACGGGGCTGGGCGAGCCTCACCTGTGTTTGGTCAATATATAAGCTGAGAGAGCCGGGGCAAAACTTACCTGCGGCTGCCTTGAGACACATTAGACTTGACAGAAGCAAACGGGGGCTCTGGCTGTCTGTGAGCGCTTCGGATTGGGGTCTCCTTTCTGTGAGAAGGGCTGGTGGTTGGGAGGGGAAGAGCAAAGCCCTTCTCTGCGGAATATAAGCGCGCCTGCCTTCGGAGCTCCCCTCCCCCCCTTCCCACAGACATCGGCTGCCCCCGAATGAGGTTCTCTGGCCCTTTATCACCCCGGAGGAAAGCTGCTTTGCGTTGGATTTGCCCGCGACGCGGCTCAGTTCTTTCCCTCTTTGTCTGGAGCCCTGGCTCGCAGCGCTCCAGCCCTCGCTGGAAAGCTTCCCGACGAGGAGTCCGCGCAGAGCCAAGCAGGCAGCTCGACAGTTCTTTGCACGTCACATCTAAATACATCGGTAATTAGATGGAAGCACCGCCGGAAATGATAGATTGGCTGCATAGCTAATAGGGACGAGGACAAATAAAGCCTACAGCGTCTCTTCCCCCCCTCCCCCCTCTCTCCCCTCTTCTCGCTTGCTCCCTCCCTCCCTCGGATAAGTGGGCCCCTGGAAATCAAGCCCACGATCTGGAGCGAGAACTGAAATTACACGTCGTCCGTTTTAGGGCTGTAATCAACCACGCAGATGAGAGTCTCGGTTGCTCCCCTGCTGCCTGCAAGCAGTTCTTCTTGAACGTGTTTGCTGCATGATTGTGGGAGGAGGGAACTCGGAGTCTTTTTAAACCCCTCTGGGTGTCTGCTAGCTAAATATATACACCTAGGAGAGCGAGCGAGCGAGGGATGGGAAGGAGCGGGTGTGTGTGGGGGGGTGAGAATCCGATCATCTAATCAAGCCTCAGTCCCTGCGGCTGCATTTCCCACACCCTTGCTCTTAAGCCGGTTAAGCTCCCTTTGCGACGTTAATGGGCCTCGCTGCACAGACGTAATTTAAGCGCCTCCTGGATCGCAGGCACAGGAAGCCTTTCCAGGGAGTCGTAAACGGCGGAGCAGCTAGCGCCTGGATTCTAAAGATAGTAGATGGAAGCAAACCCCGTCCATTTCAGGGCCTCGGGTTGTGCCTGTGGAAGTTTTCTCTCCTGGAAATCTGATAGCTTCCTCACTTCTCTTTCTGTTTAGGATCTAAGGGCTAACCTGCTGTGGGCAGTCCAACGTGGCGCTGCTTCGAAGTACTTGCTGTGGGAGCATCTCGCTCCCCCTTTCCCAGCCTAGCCTTTTCCCTCTAATGGGATTCCCCCCCCCCCTTTATTTCAGTGTTTTCCACAGCGCTTCGCATGCCCTTGGCTCTAAATAACTGTAGCAGCTGCAGAAATACTGAAGGAGCAGCGAGCAATCTCTGGCTTTACTGTAGGTGTTTAGGGGCTCAGGGCATGGGGCTTAGAGTCCCGCTACATCTCTCTCCTCCCCCCACCTTCATCCGGCCAGTTTGCACTTCTAATTTAAAAGTCCCTGTTGCAATCGCCACAGGCTTCCTACAGCGTTCTGTAAACAGGAGGGTTGAAAAGGGAGCTCCCCACAGACACTATGATGCAGGGCGTATTTTTTTGGGTGGCTTGCCTAACTTCAGGAAGAAGAGAGCAAGGCCCATTTTCAAGGCCAGCCAACGCCTGTTTTCTGTTGTGGCCAGTCAAAAGACCCCCGGCTTCAAAACACATTTGGTTTAGCGGCTGGTGTGTCCCGTGTAAATTTGGAAAATTAATTTATCCAGTTTAGTCTTGACGGGGCACCCTCCGCCTCTGTATACGGTTATCTGCCTGATGAGGAGAAGGTGATATCAGCATACAGTAGTACCTCGGGTTACATACGCTTCAGGTTACATACGCTTCAGTTTACAGACTCCGCTAACCCAGAAATATTACCTCAGGTTAAGAACTTTGCTTCAGGATGAGAACAGAAATCGTGCAGCGGCGGCGCAGCGGCAGCAGGAGGCCCCATTAGCTAAACTGGTGCTTTAGGTTAAGAACAGTTTCAGGTTAAGAACAGACCTCCAGAACGAATTAAGTTCTTAACCCTAGGCACCACTGTAGTAGTTTAGCTATTCGCTCCTTGGAGGGAGGATGAGAAACCCAAAAGACTTTATATCGCAAGACCTCGTTCCTAAAGTGTTCTGTGCATTTTATCAGAGGCAACCTGCGCAGCCATTTTGAACCATCAGGAGTGCTTTAAGCACTTCCTCAGTATTCCTTAATAACACCTCTGTAGGCTAGTATTGTGTTTGGCTTGCCCAAGGTCACCTAGGCTGCCTACACAACATACATTTAAGGCACGCACCTCCAAGAACCCAGGGAACTGTGGTTTGTTAAAACTGCTGAGAATTGTAGCTCTGCGAGGGTAAACTACAATTCCCAGGATACTTGGGAGTGGGCACTTCATATGTGCTTTTAAGGCATGATATGTGTAGTAATGAGTTCCTACTAGGTGAGCTAAGATTTGAGCAGATGATTTCCAACCTGACACTCCTTTCTACACAACACCAGCTCTCCACCGGAAGATACGTCTCTGATAAAGGCTTTAATGGTCAGCTGGGGCAAAGGCATTTAGTTATAGCTGAGTTGGGGACTAGGCTGGAGACAACCCTCCTTCTTAAAATAAGCTATCTGATTATTATTTTTAATGGCCTGGCTTTTGCTGTGGGTTGGAAGGTGTTAACCGAATGTAGAAATGAACTGAAGCATTTTAGAAGCCCCCTTGGATCAGCCCCCCCCCCTCTATCTATCTATCTATCTATCTATCCTGTACAGCAGGCTTGTCCCGGCTTCTGTTCAGCGGCTGCTTGCTTGCTTTACATACCAGGCGTCGCGGCGCAACGCACCATCTCGCGTTTAGCCCTCCATTTCCAGGGAGGCCTCACAAACAGCCATGCAACACGATCGGCACCGCAGCCTCCGGTGCTTTCGCCTGCTGGGCTTGCTTGTTAAAAATAAATGCTAGTGGTAGCGAGGGTGGGAGAGAGAAGGTGGGGAGGAGGTGGGTGGGTGCTATATTCCTCCTCTTCCTTCCTCTCCGCGCAATGTTGCACTAGCCAGTTAAATAGATCAAGCAGATTCTTTCCAGAGAGCCAGACTAACGTCGTTCTCGTGTGTGTGTGTGTGTGTGTGTGCTACATCCGAAGGAGGTGGGGTGGGAGGGAGTAAGAACGCTAGAGCCCTCCCTGACTCGAGCGTGGAGCGGAGGCCTCGTTTGCAGACAGGGGGAGTTCCCATTTCCGCGAGCAGCGCTGGCTGCGTTTAATCCTTGTGTGTCCTTTCCCCCAAGCCGGGCTGATAAACGAGAATTACGCTGAAGCGACCTCCCTTTTCCTCGGCCCTGTTCAACTGTCGGGGCGTGCTTTCCTGGCAAAAGTTAACGAATGTTTCACAAGGGCTCCTCTGGCGTGCGCGGTGACTCTTCCTTAATGGATGAGCTGACTTTCGGGCAGAAAGCAAGGAGGCCACCAAGTCGAAGGAGCGAGCAGCACCCACCCCCCATCCACACCGCGTAGGAAATCAGCTTGTCCTCTTGAAGCGTCTTCGTTTTCCTCATTTGCTAGGGAACCACAGTACTTTGCAGCTTAGGCAACACACACGGCTCAACTAAAATTCCTCATCACTTGAGAAACCTGTGCACGCGGTGCTTGCCTCGTGGTTACCTGTCAAAGATTAGAAAGCCAGGGCAGAAAAGCGGCGATAGCTGCGGCAGCAGCTCATTTCCTGGCCCTTCCGCTTGCATTTAAATTATGCACACACACCTGGCCCATTTCATCCGCTGCGGTGCTGTGAGGAGGGCAGGTAGGAGGAAGCCCGCGTGGAAGACGATCCTTTGGCTGCATGAAATATAATTTCGTGATCTGCAAGACACTTTCCAGTATAATCTCATTATGCACCACAGGCTCCCGGTGTTATTTTGTAGGAGGCGGACAATGATCAATTTACATTGACCTGGGGCTGGGCAAGCTTTTAGATGGTAATTGCCATATTGATTTGCATGAGAGGGAGAGAAGGGGGCGGGGAAGGGGAAGGCTGGCTAAAATTAAACACCGGAAGCTAAATTAAACTAAATTTAATGTCTAGGCACAAACGTAAAAGACCTGCTAAACTCCCGGGTTCTTAGCTAGGCGTCTATTTTTAGAACTCTGGAACTTGGAGGAAGAGGGAGGTGGCTCGGGTCGCTTTGAACGTTATCCGGCTCTGCTCCAGACAGAGAGCGAGAGTGGGAATCCTGAGCGATCCCACCGTGGAAACCCGCGCCAGTCCCTTGGAAGAGTTCCGACCCTTGATGGAATTTCGGCCGTGTCCTCTCATACGTTATAAAGTAAAAAGAATATATTGGATCGCGAGTGAGTCTTGTCTTCCAGAAGGCAAGGACAAGGTTTTAATTTGATCATAAGGCAATTAGAGGAGAAAAATACAGAATCCGGCAGCAGTCGCTTCCCTGGAAACTGGCTGTGCGGAGAGTTGAGTGTAGTCAGCGAACCGTTGGGAAAGGGGGTGGGTGACTGTTCCGCTCTGCGGCACATCTCCTTAGAGGAAAGCATTCCGTGCACTTTGTATCGCCTTAATTTAGTAGCAGCAGGAGAGCTGGGCGGGGGAGGGGAGGCACCCCACTTCCTCCCAAAGTGCGCTGCAGCCGCTCTCTGGAACACGCGTGCAAAAGAAGCCACGAAACAGCGTTGACCATTTATATTGGGGACACTTCTCTTCGCAAATGTTCTCTGTGCAGTTGGATCCTATGCAAGCTTGTTCATTGGGTGTGTGTGTGTGGGTTCATTCAAATAAGTATGGATAGGATTGCAGCTTTGACCTGCTTTACTTAGTGTCTAAAGCTACAGTCCCGTGCACGTTTTTCTGGGAGTAAGCTTTAATTAAGGCGATGAGACTAGCTTCTCAGTTACCTTGCAATTTAAGCACATTTAACTTGTGGGCATTAAGATTAGCCAAAAATTTGAGGTGGGTGTGTGGGAATTAAAAGGGGGTGGAAAGAGTGCCTGTGTCTGGACAGAAAGACTTTGGCGATCCCATCCACCATTGCACCCTATATGTTTTGACTATATGCGATGTTAGCTTTAGGCGGGATCCTTGAGCGTAATGCCTGACTACCGTAAACTGAGACAAACAAAAACACAACAAAAAACCTGGCCACTCCTCTAACACCTAAATCTGAAACAAATTAGTTGGAAGGAAGGCCTGCTAAAATAACTGGGGCTTCCATCCAAGTCTTTAGGGCTGATGTCTTAAACCTCAGTGCTTTCATTTGTGTGCTGTTGTTGTTTAACTTGAAAGCATTCTGCTATTAGTCAGTCCGGGGGCTACGGCAGCACGGAAAGATCCTGTTTTACTCAGAAGCTAGGCCCACTTTGCTCAGTTAAGCCTTCTCCTTAAAGAGGACTGCAACTTCAGATTCCTAAAAATGCACGAACTGG